GAGAGTGAGAGAGGAGAGAAAGGGAGAGAGAGACAGAGTCAACGAATAATAGCATTAACACAATCCCCCCCCCCATCCCCACCATCCCCTCCGGCCTAGGCGGGAGTCGAATCAACCAATGGTAATCCGCTCATGAATAACATTATTTTATGTACGGCGTATTCTGGGACCGTCGGTCGTTCGGGAGTGAAATCATATTATATATATATCTATCTTTCGGATAATTGATCAATATCGCCGCAGGCAACTGATGGTAGCCCTTGACGAAGTAAGAAAATGTTAGAGGGAGACGAGTTGCAAGACAGTACACACACACACGCACGCACGCAACGCACGGCGCACGCACCACGCAAGGTGGCACACGAGAGGGTGAGAAAGACACAGCACGCACACCGCAGCACACACACATACACACACACATCACTATACACCACACACAGCACACAGACACACACACACACACACAACAACACACACCACGCACACGCATACCACACGCAGCACACCACACACACCACACACACACACACACACACCACAAATACACAACACACACACACACACACACACACGCACACACAGCACACACACATCAACCACCCACCACACCCTTATGTGCATGCTACGGGGAGAAGGGGAGGTTGCCGCAATCATGGGAGGTGTTGACGCACGCGCGGCTTTCCTGATCGCGGCACTTTGCGCGAGTATTATTATTAAATACCATGCGTACGGCGCACCGGCGATGCAGCTGCAGACGAGGAGGTGGCGCCGCGTTTAGTTCACTATGGGCGGGAATGCTTGGAAAAGCTGCTACACGAGGGTTGTATCATAAAGTAGTGATAGAGGAGAAGTAGAATAGAGGTAGAATTAGAGGTAGAAAGAGGTAGAAGGTAGAATAGAGGTAGAAGGGTAGAATAGAGGTAGAATAGAGGTAGAAGGTAGAATAAGTAGAAGGTAGAATAGAGGTAGAAGTAAGAATAAGAGTATGAATAGAGGTAGAAGGTAGAATAGAGGTATGTAAGGTAGAATAAGAGGTAGAAAGTAGATAATAGAGTAGAAGGTAGAATAGAGGATAAATAGAGGTAGAAGGTAGAATAGGAGGCTAGAAGGTAGGATAGAGGTAGATAGAGGTAGAAGGTAGAATAGAGGTTATGAAGGCGCAGGATAGTAGGGACGAATAGAGGTTGAGAAGGTAGAATCAGAGGTAGAGATAGAGGTAGAATAGAGGTAAAGGTAAGAATAGAGTAAAGGTGAAACAGAGAGAAGGTAGAATAGAGGTAGAATGGTAGAATATAGAGGTAGGAATAGAGTAGAAGGAGACACTACGAGGGTAGAAGTAGAATAGAGGTAGAAGGTAGGATAGAGGTAGAATAAAGGCTAGAAGGAGAATAGAGGTAGAATAGAGTAGAATAGAGGTAGACAGGTAGAATAGAGGCTACGAAGGTAGGATAGAGGAGAACATAGAGGTAGAAGGTCAGAATAGAGTAGAATACGAGGTTAGAATAGAGTAGAAGGTAGAATAGAGGAGATAGAGGTAGAAGGTAGAATAGAGGTAGAATAGAGGTAGCAATAGAAGTAGAAGGTAGAATAGAAGTAAGAGGTAGAATAGAGGTAGAAAGAGGTAGAATTAGAGGTAAGAAGGTAGAATAGAAGTAGAAAGTAGAATAAGGTAGAAGGTATGAATAGAGTAGAAGGTAGGATAGCGGTAGAATAAAGGTAAGAAGGTAAGAATAGAGGTAAAATAGAGGTAGAATAGAGGTAGAAGGTAAATAGAGGTAGAAGGTAGGATAGAGTAGAATAGAGTAGAGGTAGAATAGAGGTTAGAATAGAGGTAGAAATAGGAGGTAGAATAAAGGAGGTAGAATAGAGGTAGAATAGAGGTAGAATAAGGTAAGAAAGGTAGAATAGAGGGTAGAATAGCGTAGAAGGTAGATAGAGGTAAGAATGTAGAAATAGAGTTAGAAGGTAGGAATAGAGGTAGAATATACGAGGTAGCAGCGTAGAATAGAGGTAGAATAGAGGTAGAATAGAGTAGAAGGCGTAGATAGAAGGTAACGCAAGGTCCCAAGGATAGAAGGTAGAATAGCGGTAGAATAGAGGTAGAATAGACGGTAGAATAGAGTAGAATAGAAGGTAGAAGTAGAGGTAGAAGAGAATAGAGGTAGAATAAGAGTAAAGGTAGAATAAGGTAGGAAGGTAGAATAGAGGTGGAAGGTAGAATAGAGTAAGAAGGTAGCAATAAAATTAGAAGGTAGATAGTAGGGTAGAGAGGTAGGATAGAGGTAGAAGGTAGAATAGAGGTAGAAGCGAGAATAGAGGTAGAAGCGTAGAATAAAGGTAAGAGGTAGAATAGAGGTAGAAAGGTAGAAATAGAGGTAGAAGGTAAGGAATAAAGGTAGAAGGTAGAATAGAGTAGAACGTACGAGATAGAGGTAGCAAGGATAGAATAGAAGTCACCGAGAGGTAGAATAACGTAGAAGGTAGCATAGAAGTAGAAGTTAGAATAGAGTAGAAGGTAAGAATAGAGTAGAAGGTAGAATAGAGTAGAAATTGAATAGAGTAAGAATAGCAGGTAGAAGCGTAGAATAGAGGTAGAAGGTAGAATAGAGGTAGAAGGTAGAATGAGGTAGAAAGTAGAATAGAAGTAGAAGGTAGAAAGATGGTAGAAGTAGAAATAAGAGGTAGAAGGTAGAATATGCTCTATTCTTAATGCTATGAGTTGTATTGATGTAACGGGCGAGGGGGACGCCGCGTCGCAGGCAGGGTAGAAGGTAGAATAGAGGTAGAAGGTAGAATAGAGGTAGAAGGTAGAATAGTCGCAGCAGGGGGAGGGGGGAACCCGCGTCGCAGCAGGGGGGAGGGGGACCCGCGTCGCAGCAGGGGGAGGGGGAACCGCGTCGCAGCAGGGGGGAGGGGAACCCGCGTCGCAGCAGACTCAGCAGCATCAAGATAATTGATGGATGCTTATCGTTGTTATTCGTTTAGAATCCCTTCTCGTCTATCGTAGAATCGTAGAATATACATCTGTGTTCAGTACATATGATTGTATTCTAATTACATGCAATAAAGATTTAATGATAATAATAATAATAATAATTATTATTATTATTATTATTATTATAACGTGGACCCGGCTTCAGCGGGGGTATAACCGTTGTGAAAATGTACTTGCCATTCCAATTAGAATCTTTTATTATAATTATTATTATTATTATTATAATAACGTGGACCCGGCTTCAGCGGGGGTATATAACCGCTCTGAAAATGTACTTGCCATTCCAATTAGAATCTTTTATTATATTTATAATTATTCACTCATGATAATAACAGGAGTGTCATAATATAGATTATATTATCGATCTATATTATCGATCTATATTATATCTATATTATATTATAATATATTATAATATGCATCTATATTGTCACACATCGACATATATTATCGACATTTGCTCGAATACGTGTTGTGAGCTTGCTCTGAGCTTAATGAAGTCGCAGGTGTGACAACACGGTAATCGAACGTTCTGACTGGTAGAACAATACACTGAAGACTTCTTATAGATGCCATGGGAGGCGTACTGGGAAAGAATTCTCGTGCTAATCTCTCGCTTTCCTTTGCATCGAAGCGTTGGGTTGTTGAGTGTAATATTAGACGATAGAAATGTCTTCCGATGTTGACGAAATGTTCCGACATCAGACATCCAAGAAAAGAAATACCGAATCAGAAATTTAGCAGATAAAGCTTTGCGTAAATGCGCTCCAGTGTATTTCTCATTCGTTCGGGTATACATTCAAATAATTATTACCACAATAGTGGTAATATAAGCACCACAATAGTGCCACTTCTCGTTCGTGTGTTTTTTCTTCTAATGTGTGATTCGAAAGTGGATTAATCACATCTCTTGTTGTCTT